GAAGACTCTTGAGAGTCCCTTGGACTGCAAGAAGATCAAATCAGTCAATCCTAAAAGAAATCAACCCTGACTGTTCCCTGGAAGGCCAGATAATGAAACTGAAGCTCAAATACTTTCGCCACCAAATGAGAAGGGAGCACTCACTGGAGAAGACCCTGATGCTGGGAAAGATTGAAGGTCAAAGAAGACGGGGACGGCAAAGGATGAGATGGTTAGACAGTGCCATAGATGCAACGAACATGAAATTGAGCAAACTTCAGAGGATGGCGGAAGACAGGAAGGCATTGCATGATCTGGTCCATGGGGTCGCGAAGAGTCGGACTCGACTGTGCGACTGAACAACAAATCACTTATGAGAAAAAGTACATCCTTTGTGTACAAAAGAATTGTCCTGTGCAGTTGTTCCAAGCCTGGGTTACTGTTAGAATGTTTTCCTGTGTGGATTTCTATATGAGATTTAACTTTCAAATATCAGATTCATTCCAGCTACGTTAACAGTCTATGAAGCGGATTCTCTTAGCTCTTTATGCCAGTTAGTAACTAACCAGTTAGTTAGTATCCCCAATCTTACCTCTAAAGTGGTGTTCCAGAGCAAACGCTCCAATTTTCCTTATTTTTTGCGAAAACAAATAAAGGCGAAATAATGCTTCTACCGACCAGGGGAAAGGAAGGAGGAAGTGTAGAATATGCTGGTAAGTTTAGCATCTGGAGGCATCAGTAACTTTACTTATGTAGCTTGTACTTAGTTTGAAATGTAACAGTTCTGGTGTAAGTACAAGCTAGCAGTAAGAAGCAAGGTTGAGGCTGAGACCTATTGTTTCTCAAAGTAGTTGCAGGGCTGTCCAGGTGTCCTGATTTAAAAGCTGCTCCTTGAGACAGGAAATTGTATCTTGTTCTGAGGTTTACTGTAATAAAGTACATAGTCCTGAGGGATGGCGCTGCTGGATCCATGAATCACTTTATGGGCAGGCTGCTCTGACCTCGGCCCAGTGATTTATTCATGTCATTCTGCAGCAAAGGAATGGGAGAAATGTAACCAGCACATGGTCTTGCCCCTTAGATGAGCCTTTAATTAGGAGGCTGACACATCCCCAAAGCCAGATCCAAGATGCCTTTGCAGTGGGCTTTGGAATTTGTGAAGAGGGGAATCCCTCACATTTCCTGCTTGTAGCTGTGGGATCTGTCAAGCTCTGAATTGCTTGTTTGAGAAACCGAAGGTGACTGCTACATTTAGAGAGTTTCAGGCTCAGAACTTCCCACTGCCACTCCCACAACTAGATGACATCTTGAATTGTCTGATACAATGCCCACACTGCAGTTGTGTGTTACAGAAGTTGGACGTTGTACATGTATTTAGATTATTTTTTAAAAAATTGTATTGAACTTCTTCAGTTTACCCCCAAATAGCTTAAAGATAAAACCTGCGGTAGGACTGATAGTTGTTGCACATAGAATTGAGACCAGCATCAGTAAAATAATGTCTTTGAAAGAGCCTATAAACAATAACATCTTTATAAAGGTCAAAGAAGACGGTCAAAGATGAATATAAACTTTATTTAAAACTCTGTTCAAGTTATTTAATGTGTTTTGATTCAAATATACACCTCTTCCAATGTGTAAATCTAGTATGTGTTCATGTGTTGTTCATCACTTGATATAGTCCCCACGTGATGACAGCAATATTAAGTGATTACTTGCATATGTGAAACAGTCATCATCCACCACAGACAGAGGTTTCATATCACTACCACCGCAGGCACACTGCTCGTGAATGGATGTGGTTCATGCATTCAGTTGCAAGTCGTGAACTGCTAATATATCAAGGGACGTGTAAGCATATGTGAAACAACCCTAAGTCTTAGACAAATAGACGATAACAAGTGAGGACCCACAAGAAACTTGCATGGCAGCTATCCTATTCACCCCATCTTTGCTTCCTCCCCTGTCCCACTACTTCTCTCACACTCTTTTTCCCTTCTGCCACCACTTTTCTTTCTCTCTCCTCCATGCATATCACTTCCTCTCTTTCTGCCCCCATTATTCTCTTTGTTTTTCTGCCTCCCCCTCTCATCATTCTTTCTCTGTCTTTCTGCCCATCACTCTTCTCTCTTTATCCCCCCACCATCACTCTCTCTTTTTGCCCCATCACTCTCCCAGCCTCCCACCTGCTTCCTTCCCCACACACAGCAGCAGCAGTGATGGCAGTGCTCCCAGCTGCCCACCTGCTTCCTCCCCCCCCCAGCAGCAGTGGCAGCAGCAGCTCTCCAGGAATCACAACAGATCTCCCAGCTAGAGATCAGTTCCCTTTAGGGTTGCCAGTTCCAGGTTGGGAAATTCCTGGAGATTTGGGGGGGAGGGGCTTTGGATGGTGAGGTCTGGGGAGGGAAGGGAAGGAGGGAAGCCACCTCAGCAGGATATAATTTTCTCCAGGGGAACTAATCTCTGTCATCAAGAGGGCAGTTATAATTCCAGGTGATCTCCAGCACCCAGGGATTAGCAGCAATGGTCCCTCTAAGCTGTGGAGTCTTGTGAGCAGAAATTCTACTTTGTGAGCTACTGGCATTAAAGTTGTGAGCGAGCGATTTGGCTACTGCATAAATTAGTTTGCTCTGGAACCATCCTTCCTGAGCTAAGACAAAAATGTGTGAGCCGGAGGCTAAAAACCTGTGAGCTAGCTCACACGAACTCATCTTAGAGGGAATACTGGTTAGCAGTGGTAGTTCATGGAATTCACTGCCACAGGAGGTGGTGGTGGCTACAAGCATGGACAGCTTCAAGAGGGAATTAGATAAGCATATGGAGCAGAAGTCCATCAGTGGCTATTAGCCACAAGGTATAGATAGGAAGGAGCTGCGGTGGCTCAAGTGCTTAAGACACTGTGTAAAGTGCTGTCAAGTCACAGCTAATTTCTTTCAAGCCAAGTGAGAAGCAGTGGTGGTTTGCCATTGCCTCCCTCTGCAGAGTCTTCCTTGGTAGTCTCATTTCCAAGTACTGACCATGCTTCGCTTTCTAGAACTTCCAAGATCGGGCTATACCATGATTCCTTCCCTCCTCTTTATTGGACAACATACTGGTCAATGTGGGCTATACCTAACCTGGATAGCCCAGGCGAGCCCAGTCTCATCAGATCTCAGAAGCTAAGCAGGGCCAACCCTGGCAAGTATTTGCATGAGAGACCATCAAGAAATACCAGGGTCGTGACGTGGAGGCAGACAATAGCGAACCACCCCTGAAGGTCTCTTGCCTTGAAAACCCTCTGGGGTCGCCATAAATCAGATGTGATTTGAACGCAAAAAACAACAGTGTGGGCTACATAAAAATAGACAAACCAGAAAGAAAATAGAAGGTAGTATGGTGCTATTTTAGCAAGAGAACTACATTAGCATTGTGACAATCTGCAGGCTCCGATCTGTAAAATATGAGCAATCATGAGACATTTAAAATATCTTAGGAAAACAAACATGAGATGCTTGTTCAATTTGATGTCTATCGTGTACAGTGTTTCTGCACAGTCGGTAAAAGGAAACCTTGGTCTTATGACTACATAATTCTCTAGTATAGAGAAAATGTTTTGTTACAGTTTGTGGTCTTTAGAGAAGACATGCAGTTTGAAGACTCTTCAGGGTAACACCTGAATGGAGGGCTGCTTTTACCTTTAACAGAACCTTTTTACAACCTAACCTTTGGGTTAGGATGGGGGGAATGATTTGCTCTTTGGTGGTCTGGCATCTTTTTCCTTCTGTTTTGTGATTATCAAGAAGCGTGGATACAGGATTTCTTAAAATGTGTGTAAACTAAGTGCAAAAAGAATAACATGGGCTGCTGTGTTCTAGAAATGATGTGCTTTTTTGATAGCTGATCCAGAGAACATGCATCTTCTAGAGGGAAAACAGGCAAACATGTAAGTGTGGCAAGCCATATGCTAATCTAGACTTTGAGAATAAACTCTCCAAACTTGGGACCTCAGGGATCTGTCAAGAGGCAGAGCAAAGGCTTGAGTTCAAGCCCAAAGTGTATAATAAATAGATAGTGCTGCTCTGTTGGCCCAACAGTTGCCAAAAGGCCAGGTTTCTAGTAGTAACACCAGGCCTGGTTAATCCAGGGACTTGTCAGTCATAGTTGCTGATGTTGAATACTGCTGTTCCTTCTGTTCTGGAAGAATTCTGTGGTCCGAATCCATTCATTCTAAAGTACTTATGAGACTAGGTCTCTGTCTTGAGGGTCCATGTTCAAACCCCTGGAACTTTTTTAAAACAAAATTTATACCTCACCTTCTTGCCCTCATAGAGTGGCTAACACATTAAAGCACACATAGTGAAATCACATCTTAAAAAATGTTAAAACCAACAAAAAACTTATATTTACACATATATTGAAGCTGCCCATACTTTAAAGCAATGAATTGCGTCATTTGGAATTTGAGATGATTCAGAGGTAGAAGCTCCTAGCTGTAAATTAATTAATAAATATAAAACAAAAGTGTTACTGGTTGGAGGGAACATCTGAGAAGCATGACAAGAACTTTATTTGTTTTTATTTGTCTTCAGTTAATTTTGCTGTTTTTAACTTTCTTCAGAGGAGTAGGCATTTTTGTATAATTATACTTGTATGCATATAGTAACACGTTTGTTTCATGAGATTGTATAGTAATATTACTGAAGTGTATGTTACAGTGTAAAAGTCAACAGAGTGCTTAATTGATCTTGCTATTGCATAAGTAAGCTGATTCGTTATACATCTCTTCATGCTAAATATGTCTCAAATCTTCTATGTACAGTAGTCATTGAAGGGTAGTGTCCATTGGAAAGCTGAGAGTCAAAAGGGACTCACTTCGCCTTTTAAAAATGATGAACTCTCTATTACAAGCCCATTTTATTGGAATTTCAGCAACATCTGATACAACTTCAGATACAAACTCTGTAAACGTATGAATGTGGCAGGGGACACTTAAATGTTAGATAGCACAAATGCAAATAAACCTTTCATACTTTCTTTTTCAGACAAGAAGCCCTTCTGGCTGCCATTAGTGAAAAAGATGCCAACATTGCTTTGCTGGAGCTCTCTTCCTCCAAGAAAAAAACCCAAGATGAAGTGGCTGCCCTAAAACGAGAGAAAGACCGCTTGGTGCAACAGCTAAAGCAACAGGTATAAGAGAATTACACTGCAATCCTAAACATAGTCATACCATTTCATTCCCGTTGACTTCAGTGAATGTAGAAGGGTGTAACTCTGCTTAGGATTGTACTGTTAGGCATATGGCCATTAGATTTGATTATTACCTGATTTGTATGTTGTTATATGAAAGAGTCACTTGTGCAAAACTGCGGGTTGCTCCTGCCGTCACACCTCCTCACACAACACAGCAGCATGCCCCAAACTGTCATAGAGCTGTGGTATGTTCCTTGGTATGGACAAGTCACGTGCATGTACTAAGTCAAAAAGAGGGCGCCAAATAATGTTGTATGCACAGAATAATATCTGGAGGCACTGTTGCCTAGTTTCCATAGAGGAGGATCATCATTTTCTTGAAAAGACTCTGCATTAAGATGAGTTATTTGTGCAACCGTGCCTATACTAGCAGGTAACTGAGCTTACCTCTGGAAAACCTATCATTTAGTATCTTCAGTTGGTGTATATTTTTAAGGAAAATACTAACTGTTCACCATAAACACATGGTCTTGCTGAAATAAAATGTTAATTCACTCATAGAAGGAAAAGCTTTTTAATACATCCTCTTTCTACAAGTCATTGATATCTTCAGGAAAGAGGCTGCCTCATTCCCAGTGTTTGGGATATCTTACACTTGTGAGCCAGATGGTCTTTTTTCTTTTTCTTTCTCCAGGTAATATAAACACTGGAGAACTGCTGGAAGGAAACTTTCTGTTCAGAGAACTGTAGGAGGCACTTGAAACATTCTAGATTAATTTCAGCTAAGTGGTTGTTGTGCCAGTTTTTTTTTCCTACGTCATTTGTATGCCAGATTGTTAATAAGAGCTGCCATCTTTGGACAGCCATTTTGGGCCTCTGCCCATCATCACCATTGCCGTTTTCTTCACTTTAACTGCCATTATGACTAAATTATTCTGTTGCCAAAGGCAGCAAATTGGAGCCAAAGACCCTTTCTACTAAAGATTTCTTCTGAAGCATTGGTCCTCTGGTAGCAGTGGTTTTTCACTTAACATTTAATATTGAAATAAAATATTTAAAGTTTGCTCAATTAAGTTATTTTCCGATAGTTAAAAACCAGCATTAAAGCTGGTCAGAAATCTAACTTTACACTTTTTATACTATTCAGCTTTACTGGAAGGATCATTAATACTGTCACTTTGCACTGATGGCCATACACCAACAAAAGCCTTTCAGATCCAACGTTTAATGTAAAATGCATATTCTCATTTCATCACACTGATCAAATATGATTTGGCATTTGATGTCCCTTCTCACCATTATAAGGAGGGAAAAGATTTATAATGTTATGGGAATCTGTGATCCCGCAGGTCCCAGCTTGATGCATAAATAGAAACAAAAGTCTTATCAGTAGTTTTTTCTGTCATGAGCTTCTTGGGTTTTCATCCCTGGAGACTGTGGGGTTTGTAACTGCTACTAAAGCCTCCCTTTATAAAGGGCTCTGAGTCCGTCAGGTGATTAGCCTGCCCAGCATGGCAAAGAAGAAAATAGTTTTGCAGTCTCTTCAAAACAGAAAACAGCTACTGCAGCCAGAATTGCAGTCCTAAGGGCAGGGGAAGGAGGCAGGGAGGAGAAAAGGGGAAACCGATGCACACAGAGACCCAGGTGGAGTAGAACAAGCCATAGCTCTATTGATTACAGCAGGAGCATTGGCATGGTACAGGGCATGGATCTAGACATTGCCCAACCTACCTGCTAATCAATGGAACCCCAGTCTCAGCCCAATTGCTGTAGGTAAACCTGGAATGGCACAGCCTCCGCATGGGTCCTTTGCCACTTGAGGATGGAGTCGAGCAACAGTCCCTGAGCTGGGCATGTTTCTGGAGAGCTCCACCCCCAAGACTCCTTAAGGGGGTCCCACTGGGGGAGATACCTCTCCCCCAATGGATCCAGCCCAATGCCTGAAACCGCCACCAGAGCTGGACAGTGCTTGTCCTTTAACTTGTCCAGCTCCCACCAAAATTCCTACTACCGCAACCAAGAAAGAAAGGTGTCGCAAATCCCATGAAGCCAAATGTCCTGCTCCCAGGATGAGAGCTGCATGCTATCTGCTCTGAACAGAGCTGCCTGAAGGAAATGTATGGGTGGAGAATTACAGATCTATCTGCCACCTCCATGAACTGCCCCACCACCTTGATCATTTTCCTCCTGGTGTCATCAACCTTGCTGTGGGAGGCAGCCCCCACCAGACATATCTGTCAAGCAGCTCTGACCAGAAGAGCTGCATACCCAGAAGGTGTGAAAAAAGAGACTGAAGATCTGCTTCCATGGCTAAGGCAAGGTCCACCTGTTTCCAGCTGGGCAGATCGTTTTTCCTAGTGAACCACAATGGCATCTGGAGGGCACCAGCAGGTGGCAACACACAGGACAGCCTGCCAGAGGGAGTTTCAGCACATTCCTCTTTGATCTGAAGCCAACCTTCCAGTCCCAATGAGGTGCCCCAGCCAGTTGTTGATGTGTAGTTGCCCACCCACTGAACACCACTGTGGCTGACTATCCAGACAAACTCAGTGTTCCCTGCAGAAACTAAAAAGGAGTATTAGTGGCAAGGCCTGGCCAGATGTAGGGGCCCGTAGGCAAAGGAATTCCACTGACTGATGGCCTGAAAGCAGGCAGGAGGGGGCAGTCTAATCTTGGCTGAGGTGGTTGTGCTGATCTGACAAGAGTGGACCTGGAGTGGGGAGGCCAGCCTGCATGACACTGGCAAACTGAAATCTGGTGAGGAAGGTGCCATCAGCATGGATGAGCGGACGGACGGGATGGGACCAGATGGCTAGATAGTCTGTGATGGCAGGGACCAGGCAAGGCTGACCACCTGGGGTGTCCGTAAGCTCAAAAGGGATCTCTGCCCTCCCTAATCGGTCTTAGATCTCCTCAGGGTCAGACATCGTATTGGCCATTGGATGGGGACATCCTGCAGCCTGGGGGCTGGCCAGAGAGTTTGTGCTGGGAAGGCGGGATCAGCTTCTTGCATCTAAAGGCCCTGAAAAAGGCCAGTGTGAAGGCAGCCCAGAATACAGCAGTCTCAAATTCAGACCAGCAGCCCCTGCCCGTAGCTAGGGATTTTTTGGTGAGGGGACTTTGGGGGGGGCTGCTAATGAAATTGGGGGGAGCTTCCCTCCTCCCCAGCAAGGGCAGCCCTTCCCTGTAGAGCATCTGGCTCCCTCCCTCCCCAAGTAGCCCTAGTGCCCCTTCCTGCGTCGCTGCGCCAGGATCAGCCTGACCTCCACCCTCAGCTTCCTCCTGGGGCCAGGAGAGGCAGGACATACAGTGGCTGGGCTGGCTACGAAGCTGTAGCATGTTGGGCACATTGGCACGCCCACTTGCTTCTTTGCCTTGCCTGGCTGGGTTTACCTGCTGCTGGCGGCAGGGCAGCAAGCATCTCTCGGCCCAGCCTCACCGCCTCTGCTGCTTGTGCTGCCCTTGTCCTCTCTGCCGACAGGCAATCAGGAGGGAGGGGCAGCCAAGGCTCAGGGAGGGAGGCCCAAAAACCCACTAAGGGGCCAGGCCCCGTGGGCTCTGTGGTAGCTACGGGCCTGTCTGCCTGTCAGAATAAACAGTACTAATCTTGGTCTAATTTGGTATAAATTAGCTTCCTGCAATCTCCATAAGCCACTAAGAGTTTTGTCAGGCAGGAAAAATACTTTGTTCGTACCTCAGATAAATCAACTATGATATTACTTGTACTGGTGTGGAATGTGTAGTTTTTTAAAGAAATCTAATAGTGAATGGAAGTGTCTAATATCTTTCAATGGATCTTATAACCAAAAGCCTAAGTTCATTCCTCAGATCTGGTATACCTTTAGCTGATTAGTGCTGGAGGCTAGCTATCATCACCTTGCCCTGCTTGTGAACTGTTTTGGAGCTGAGTTCCTCTGGAAGGCAAAATGCAAGGCTAGATGGACCAATGCCCTGATCCCCTATGCTGTGACTTTCCCCCCCGATAAGCTTTGATTTATGAATCCCTTTACTAACAAACATTGACTCTCTGTAAAGTGCATTTGGTTTTGATTATGGAAGGTAGGCTTCCACTTGTTACTTCAAACGTCATTTACTTAAGATCCAGTAATCAGAACACTGGTGCAAAGGTAACTTTATCTGAGATATGAACAAAGGTAACATTGCATCGAGCTTAGAGTGGAAGGATAGTGTGTGCAAGCCTGCAGGATTCACTCAACCAGGTCAGATTGCTTAAAGCACAGCACATTAGCAGTTATCGTTGAGAGGAACAAATTAGTCGAAAAATTGATTCACCTCAGTTTTTAGGGTTTTTGCACGTCAAACTTAAATACTTCATTGAATGAGCTACATTGATCAACCCAGGAAGGAATTCTGTGATGAGTCTCTTCATCCAGGTTCTCTGTTTTAATTCCTTACACAGTATCCTTTTCCCACCCACTCAAGTAGCAGATTGGTTACTGTTAAAGAGAAGGAAAGAGTTTTGCCAAAGGCATTCTGTTTCTTTAATTTCAGGGTGTATGTGTGTGTGCTTAAGCTTGGATGAGGAGAAGTTTTTCAGAAAGAGGATATGGTATTAGTGTTGTTTTAATTTAAAGTTCCTAGGCTGGTTGCTACAGGAATGAGCTACTACAGAAATGAATTTGTAACAAAGCATTGACCAGGCCATCCAAGTAAACTGAGCTGCCTGTTCCACATTGGTTGTCAGTGTTCACACTGTATTTCCTGTATCGTTGCAAGGATGAGGTGCAAGTGTCACCATATATTGTGGCCCCAGTTTAACTGCTCCCAAGATATTTAGCCGTCTCAATTGGTTGATAGTGAAATAGTGGTTGAGAGGCCTCCTTGTCAAGGGGGGGGGGGCAGGCCTGCTTCAGCAAAACAGTACTGAAGGCTGTCTAACAAAGTCCAGATGTGCTAGTGAGTGCACTTGGATTGTAAGTCATAGTTCTGCTATACATGTGGAGAGGCACCCATTCTGGAATTAGTGTAAATTCACA